GGTTGACACGATGAATAATGTTTTGAGAGGTTTGTGCCATTCGCGTCTTCTCTTGATGGAAAAACACAGAGCTTATAATCTACTTCACTGCTCAGCTTGAAATGTTGTGACTTGTATGTGTTCGATGTTGCAGAAAGTTCAAAGTTGTAACCAAACCACCATCTATCCAAGCCAGCCCATGGAACTTTTCCAGAAACATTTAGGGACTCATGGACTTCAACTTGCACTAGCATATAAGAACTGGAGACTAGCTATTGGACTGGCTTTTCAGGTGTCCTCTGCATGTCTCCATTCTGCACCCATTCAGACATCATGGTTGCAAGATGTTAACTTAGAAAGAACAACACCATGAACGTCTATATCAAAGAAACTCATCACTTTTTGGTCAGTTATCAGTCTAATTTCCAAGGTTTACTCAGGTGTGGAAGAAACTGATATTGGGCAAGAGGCAGGGTACACCCTGGACAGGTCACCAGACTATCACAGGGTTGACACATATGCTATGTACCCATCCATCAAATAACTGGGAAATGCGCATTAAAAGAAATACGAATCCTGTGTGTTTCCATTAAATGTACGGACTTTGGTGAAAACTACGAAGTGGAACGAGTTTTCCGCAGAACTGGAAACAAAACAAGTCTCGCATTCTTCTTCTTCTACGTTTTCTGGCGGTTGGCAACCAGCTTGTAAATGCATTACCGCCTTCCCGACCCGGAGTGTGGATATCACCATGGAGAGAGGGGCGCTACGTCAGACTTAATTTGAACATAACTGTTTCCATCCCCCGTTTTGCGAATCAACATTTTTTCGAATCAACCAAAACCCGGCTAAAGCAAGCACATTTTAGTTTGTGCGAATCAGGGGATTTTAATTAGAATTTTGGTGTTTCCATCATAATTTTCCGATGCGATACTTCTAGATGCACATCTAAACAGGCTGATGGAAACATGGCTATAGAGACAGACAACCATTCGTACTCACATTCACACCTACGGACAATTTACAGTCACCAGTTAACCTGCATGTCTTTGGACTATGGAAGGACGGTTCTTCAGGTGTGGAAGAATTTATTAATAAATTAATTAATAAATAATTAATTTATTTTACAAAAATTCAAAAAAATAAATGTAATCTATACATTCATGTATTTTTTACAAGTGCCCGCAAGTGTTACCAATATTGCAAAAAATGGGGCCTACTGATGCTACGCATAATTTTTACAGCCTCTTGTCCTTCTCTGTCTGCTTAACGTAAAACAGCCTGGAGTTAGTCTAAGTTTTGCTTTCATTTTGTCATGGGACTCTTGAGTCTTTCATGGTTGTCCAGTTGTGCCAAAGAGTGCAGAATTCAATTTTTCTTTTTTTATTTTACAGGATCTGGTTGGTGCAAACAATTTAATTGTGGAAAAAAAAATAAATGAGACATATAGAATAAAGTGATTTTAATGAAATATCACTATTTAAAGATAAACCACACAGGATTTTTCTCACAAAAAAACAACACAACACAAAACAAAAGAGTAAAGAGTCATACAGAGCTAATCCCTCTCAGTCATCTCTTATGACTCACTAGAAGTGTGTGCTGGTTTATTTTTCTGCAGAAACTCTGCCCTCTGCCTGTATTTTCTTATTTTCTGTGTTCAGGATGTTTATGGTCGTGTAATCCCATTGTCGGGTCTTTATATAATGGTAGCGACCAGGTGCCAGAGCATATGTAGCAGGTACCCAAGAGACACAGCACAGACAAAAATGCAAATATAGCGATGTGGTAGATGTGGTTATGTTTCCTGACAGGAGAACATGAGGTGTATAAAGATCATTGGGACATTATTAAATCTGTCAATAATATCTGTTTTTACAGTTTCTGGCCATGATAAATGGTGTCATTTCTTTTTCAAGAAACCTTTACTGACTCTGGGTTGTGGGGTTCAGAGCAAGCACACTCAGGCCTAATTGTTAAGTCATCAATTTATCTAAATCTGCATGTCTTTGGGCTGTGGCGGGAACTGGAGCAGCTGAAGGAGCCCCGCCCCCCGCCCACGTACACAGGGAGAACACAGCATGTCAGGTTGGGTTGGAGTCCAAGGCCTTCCTCCTGTGAGGCGTCAGTGCCACCCATTTATTTTAATGAGGCTATTGTCTTGCGTCTGCCAGAGTGGATCAAACATGCTTACATCACTAGGCCTGGCTTTAGCATATCAGTCATTCAAATGCAGTAATTCACTGTTTTTTCCTGCTGTTATTCAAGAACAGGGGGGGTTAGAGTCCAGAGCTCATCCCAGCATGCACCAGGAAGAAGGAAGAGATCAAACCCTGTGAACCATTAACTGCTGAGTTTCAGTGCCGCCACTGAGAATGCTCTGCGATGCAGAAAAGTAAGCTTATATTTCCAAATGCAGTCAAAAGATTGAATAAGCAGTGTGATATTAACACTCAAGCAGAGTCTGTCTGTAGACATTAAATTTTGTCACAGACGGGGCTCGCTCTACCTCGATGAAAATTATTAACCTCCTGTGAAATGGAAACAAAAGTTTGCCTTCCTGATGCTTCTGCTTTATGGACTGAGATATGAGATTCAGCGCAGCGCCTGCAGAATTGCTCCCAATTTAACGTTCAGAGGAAAACCAAATAACGTCTGTGGTTGTGATTGGCAGAAGGTTAAACAGTCTCTTATCTGCAGACACAGGATATATAATCACAGAGGGATGCTCACATCACATCGCCCCAACTGAGAGGCCGCTCCGTCCGCAAACACTCTGTGAAGGGAGCTATCGGGCTATTAATCACAGGCATGCGCACGGCCGTCGCTGTCGCCTCGCTGCTAATGTGTGCGCTCACGTGCAGCTTCAATCAAACCGGAGCAGGATCAGTTCAGGGGTCGCTCAGCCTTTTGTTTTATGCATCATCCCTGCCGAGTGTTGCTTAACCCAGCCTCCACCCTCCTTCATCATGTCTCTATATTTCCTTTCACCCAGCTATTATTAAAGGGAAATACTCACTTTATCTTATTTGTGGACAGAATGTCAAGGGCAGCATTTACATACCTGTGTATGTAAATGCTGCCCTTGACATTCTGTACCCGGAGTAATTTGGTTTGAGTCAATGTATGCATATATCCCTCATTACTATTTACAATATCCCGAGTGAGGCTGTGATTATGAGAAGGCCCGCTACGAATGCTTTATTATCATATTTATTTAACCTGTACTAACCTTGCTGTTGTTTCCTTCTAAATAATGTAGCTGTTGCATCCGACCTTTGGTCAGTCTCACAATGTTTTATAATCACCTGGGAATGAATACTGTACATAGCTAATGGCAGTGTACCTGAATGCAACTGTGCACAAGAAGGGCTTTACAGTGAAGTCTAGTTGTTTTTGGCTGGACTGCAGAGGCGCAGTCAGGCCTATAAACATCAAAGTCTGCCTGCCGCTGAGTGAGTGAGTGACCGAGTGAGTGAAGTTACACCATTGGTCGGAGTGAGTGATATTGATATTTATTTTGAACGTGTAAAAAAAAGACATGAACACACAAACTAGCAGACAGAAAAAGCCATATCTACAAATAATGAGAAGCAGTTGTCAGTGTGTAGTTAGTTTGATTTACACTTTCAAAAAGAAGTGGGAGGAAATATATTTTTGCTGTTTCAACTTTGACTGAAAAATCCTTTCACCAAAATAAAAAAAATACAACCACACATTATGTGATGCTTGCTGACATTTTTTTTATTTAAATATGCACATTTGTGTCCTTGTTACTGGTCTCCAAACAGATCGTGTCTCTGTCCGTCAGCTGCATCTCAGCCTCTGCTGGACAGAAACATGATCTGAAGAGAAGGCCGACATCTCTACAGCTGATATCTCAACTCTTGGCAACACACAGCAAAACAATCTAGATGAATTAATACCACCACAGGTTTTGATTGGGTTAAATGTCCCTTTGAAGATATGTAGATAACAGAGCTACTGCATCTGTTTGTACTGTAGATACTGTATATGTGTGCTGCCAGGTTCAGGTAATACTGAGACTCACACTGCGACCCATTAACTGACTGACTAAACAGATGTGTTTTTCAAAGTGGGTCTATTAAGAAAATAATTAACGAGAAATTGCAGTCGGCAGATTTGAGTTATTCACGTCACCTCATCTTTTAAGATATAATTAGAGAGGTTGACAGCAGCTCTGTTTCACACCTTTGCACTAGAATTTGTGTAAACTTACATAAACACACACAGCAGCTGCAGTGTATGTGACAATACTCCATCATTAAACCTGTTTGCCTTTAAGAACTGGATAATGTACTTGGCGTTATTAGCAAAGCTGAAATTTCATCTGATTTCCAAGAAGATTCAGCTGATATTTAAATGTATTTTATGTATCATAACGTGGGTTGAAATTCACAGAATATCTCCCTGAAAGTGTTTAACATCTAAATCAGAATGTAGGCTGAGGAATCTTCATGTCCCAAACATCTTGAAAATACAAACCTCTGCAAAGTTACCAAATGAGCATGAATCACTTTGTGATAATGTAAAATGTGATGTTTGTAACACTCCCAGTGCACCACGTCATTTTTTAAAATATTTAGCATGACTGAATCATGTCTGCAAGCATCTCCTCCAAAGTGCCAAAGTGATGTCAGCTCATTCCTCTAAACTGTGCGCATATTTAGATTCCTTCTCATTAGATACCTAAGTACTGCATTCTTTTAGTTTTTACACATGCATTCAAGACACAAAATCAACACTATATGTAAATATTATAAACTATAATTTCAAATACTGTCTCTTATTTAAAGGGATAGCGCACCCAAAAATGAAAATTCAGCCATTATCTACTCACCCATGAGTTCAAATGACGTTTTTCCAAACAACTTTTTTATGTCGGGGCTTCAGGACACTTGGATCGAGCAGTATGGAGATATTTTGTGGTTTCAATTATGTGTTTTTGGACATTTGAATCTGGGGCGCCGTCAGCCTCCATTAGGTGGAGTTGTGTTGCTACCTCCTCTCCCCTTGGATCTCCGCAAGTGTTGTGAGGACTGTAAAACTTCACCTGAGCCTCCCTCGGCATATGGGTGAGTAGATAATGGCTGAATTTTCATGTTTGGGGGCACTATCCCTTTCACCTTAATTTAGCAAACTACACCCATCCCGCCACTCAATGAAGACACTACATGCAGATCTCTTTCCAAAAATGTGTTTAATTTTTACAGAACACTGCAAAATCCCTGCTCCAACCAATATACAAATATATACAATATCTAAAATAGTGTGTTAAAAAAAAAAAAAAAAGACAACAGCAGAAAAGACCCTATGAAATAACCTTTGAAGAGTTGGAGAGGTACTGAAGTTAATCAGATGCACTAAGGTCCGTAACGATTCAAAATAATCCAGAATGAAATGATGGAATTGTTGCAACAAGGACGGTAGAATGAATCTTTGAGGTCACTGCTTTTCATTCTGTCATACAAAAATCCATTATAGATGTAAAACATTCCTTGAATATGCACAAACATTTATAAAGTTTGCATCCAGTGTGGACGAAGGCCAAATGCAACATCTAAAACATTTCCAATCATTCAAGTTTGTGTTGATGTGAGGTAGAGTCAGTGAGGTAACCTGTAATGAATCAGGGTGTTTGTATGCACAGTGATGCTAGTTTTAATGCCGTGTGTGCATTTAAACATCCTGGTTTTATTCAAGTACCAAACCAGAAGGCTGTGCCACGAAGCCAGCTCAGCAGAGTCTGGCTCTCTTTGCCTGAGCTGGCTCTAGAAACCCTCAGGCCTCAGTCAGAGGTTATAGAGGTAGTTAACCACTCACTCTGTTAACCCAGTGTTCAGCTTGTCATTTGACTCTTAAAATTGATCGATCGTGTATGTGATGTGTAATGTCTGCCTTTAAAGGATATTAAAATGTATGACAGTCAACACTGATGCTTCATTTAAGGTAAGAGAGGAGCACTTGCATTAATATGTGAACTCATAGGTGAATATGTTTATTTACACTATTTCTAACAGTTGCACACTCTACAGATCTCAAACTAGAAGCAACAGATTTAAACTCAAAAACTGCATTTACGGTCCCATGACGAAGGAGACGGGGAATCCCGTAAGTTTTGAGGCAAATCAAATTAAAATTAATTTTACCGATTGAACGGTTAGTTATTTAATATCAACAGACTAATCAATTTTCTAATCTGTTTTCTATCGGCTGTAATATCAGCTACCAGCAGTGTAAAACAGACTTCAGCAAATCAGGATCAGTAAAATCAGGAAGTGTAAAACCTAACCCAAAGTGGTGACTTTATGGTGGTTTGCAGGAATTACATCACATTTCATATGCATATAAACATACAAACATCATCCTGGTTAATAATATAATGAACTGTATGCTACCTGATTTTATAAAAGGCATCTTTCAGAACCAGTGTGAGCAAACGGACCAGAGAATACAAACATATTCAGCAGTGAGAGCAACAACAACCTTGCAAATAACATAAAACAATATTCTAACTCAGACTTTCTACATTAGTGATGTACTGTAGATTCCCGTGCAAAAAAAAAAAAATATATAACATAATGCACACAGTAAAGACTAGCCTACTGTAATTGCACGCCTTTGTTCAGGGGCGTGTATGTAACATTAGCACCATAGAAATAGAATGACTGTCTTTCTGTTTTAATGCTTACAGCTCAACAAGTTTGGATAAAGTGCATTTATAACGTCTTCCTTCAGCTGACAGTCTGTATTGCTCATATATGGAATATTGACTGTAGTGTGGCGCTACTCAAAGGAGCAATGAAGGGTGCTTTTTAGCCGAAACACAGAACATAAGCTGCTGCTGACCAGAGGCCTGTACTACGAAGCAGGATTTGGAGTTAGCGAGTTAACTTCATGAGTTTTCAGCACTATGAAGCTGGTTCTCTTTTTACCGGAATCATCATGATAATTGTGCTGAACAGTTAACCTGCTCCGGAGTAGGTTATATGTCAACACCCTGACCTCTGACCAATCAGATCACTGAAGAAAAAAAAGTATCCATGGTCAAAAGTCCAGAGACTCAAGTAGAAAAAGAGTAACCTGTGTATTGAATGATTTTAGCACTAGTTTAACTCATGCAAAGTTTATTTTAGGCTGCTGATTTCACACTCTGATTCCATCGCTGCACCTCAAAATAACCTGAGACACCTGTTTGATGACAACTAAGAAAAGGCATATATTATAAATGCAACATTTCGGTCAGAAGGACCTCATCATAATCTCGTCATTAACTGGGCTACTTTTCTACTCTTTACTTCAGTACCAGGAACAGTCTGGCATCACTTTAAAGTGTTTTATCTGACATACATCCAACTGAACAGCAAAAAATACTCTACACTAATGTCACATATAGCTTAGTGATACCTACACGTAATGTGAGTCTCAGCAGACGATGAATTTTTGGATAGTACTTTCAATGTTTGTACATTTTCCGTTATAGGATTACAGAGTACTGCTTACCTCCCACGGCACTGACATCTTACTGTCTCATGTGCCAGACACTTTGGGTACCGCTTCATCTCGTATTGTATGAAGTAGCCTGCTTCATTCATGGCTCTGATGATGTCACTTGTAATAAACACCCATGAACCTGCGCATGGCTGGATAGGAAAACCCAGAGTTGGCTGAACTAGTTGATAACCAGCTTTGTACCATTTATCTAGACGGCCAGTGTTAGGTCTGCTGCATAAGTTACCATGGCGATCTAGCCAGGTTAAAAGAGAGTCACCTTCATAGGACGCAAAACTCTGACTCTAGGCTCAACACACCTTGCTTGGCCACTAATCTTGCTTCGTGATACACCCCTCAGAAGGAGAACTTAGGTACTATGGTATTAAAACACTTAAATCCAGTTTCTAATCACTGCCCGCAATCTGTGCTGGAGCATCCTCAATCCGAGTCACATTATTGTGGCTGTTGGAAATCAAGTTATGGAAGTTGTTGCTAAATGAACCAGAAACCAAACTGCTGACGTCCAGTAACTAGAAATGTCAAAGATTAGCTGAGATGCTGAGGAGACAAACACATGCCTGCACCAAACACACATTCACCACATTCAATGGAGCTGAATCTAGTTAGTCTAATGTTAATAACATCATATTCCAAATACACAAGGATAAAACTTAAAGTGGTTAGACTAGTGCACGTGTAAATACACTCAGTAGTTAATAAAACAGTAAGAAAACATCAGTTATTATAGTCAAGTACGTTTCTTGTTTCTCCTTCAAATTACAGTACAAAACCCCCATTCATTTACGAAGGGTACGTTAAATAAATCGATATGCACTTCCCGCATGCAGCAGCATCACCACATAGGTTTACCACTGGTGAGGTAATTTCAGGTTCCAGGGTTGTTGTTAGAAAGGATCTTAGCTGCAGATAACAAAAGAGGATTACATGAGGTATCCATTTTCACAGCATACTTCCCGGTGGAAGTTGGTATATATTTATCCATTTGCAGTTTTCAGTTCAAGTTTCTCACGGACTTCATATATTTGACTGAATTTATTAACGTGCGTTCTCAGTGTAATTAATCCAGGCAGTAACATGCTGCTTCCTGCTTTGTAATACACTTTACAATTCCATATAAAGCCTCTGCTTTTTATTAAGAGTTTTAGAGACATTTTGAGGCATTTGAATGGGTAATGACCGGACACTGAAGCCTTGGGAATATTTTAACAGTTCACTCTGCCAATCAAGATAATGGGTAGATTCATCCATTAATTTAAATTCTCTTCTAGTTCACTAACCACAGGTTTTTAAGGTTATTATCTATTCTATTTTGGTCATTTTAAGATACTGCATACTATTTAGAGACCATTTATCTAGGCTTGTTAAGTACTCTGTGTAATCTGGAAGTAAAACACGTATGAGGTAACACCATAGGTACAGGAGACTTTGGCAAAGGAACCAAAAAGTAGTCGACGTGGTAATGAAAGGCACGTGTTCATGACGGGTAAATCACCAATTTATAGGCCATTTATACAGACTATATACAAGTCAAAGACGTACTTCAGTGCTTCAGTGGTCTTTCCATTAACACTGAGCTGTCTATGCAGTAGAAAGATGCACATATTTCTGACATTGGTGCTACATAAAAAGAGAAAACAGAGGGGCAGTGGCCACACCAGACCCATTAACACTCTGTTGGTGGGTGACATAATGCAAGCTTGGCCTTTTTTCCACAGGAGACAATATGGCAGCCAGCTGGAAGCAAATGATCTCCAATTAGAGTTAAACAATAAGCTAAAAACGTTTGTGAGAACATTTGAGGCGAGAAATACGCAATGCAGTAACACGTTTGATCTCAGTTTCCACAACACAGGAAATGGCACAGTATTGGGCCCACTTCCTGTTCACAAATTCTTGTATTACAGCCAAACTGTGCACTAAAATATGTTTCTGAGGACATTTTAGGCAGGAAATGTGCAATATAGTAACAGAGTCTTGGTTAATTTTTGATCAGCGCTGCCTAGTTTTACAGTTTGGTCTGAGCTTTGGGGTGCGGGAGTCCTCTCTTGTGCTACTTCTATACTCTCTGTATTCTCTCTGTCCGTGGTGGTGGGCAAACAAAAATGCAGAAGCACAATCTCTAGTTCGAATAACAGCCCTAGAGTGAAAATCCGTTAGATGATGTCATCAAGCATATTTTCACTGAGATATGAGCAGGAAGATGTGGCCGCTAATAAGATGAAGGGAAGTTTACCACCGTTCATCAACACATAGTGCCCTCATTGTTACGACACAAAGCTGGTTGAAAATTGGCGACGTATCCGTTTAAGTGTCGTCACTCAGATGCAGATGTTATTGCCTCTATGCCACTCACTGTAACAATTCCTTAAAGAATTAAAACAAAGTGTTTTTTGACAAGTGCTACAATAGACTGGTGATTTTCTTTTGCACACCACACATGCCCTTCTGCCGAGAGTAGCCCGATCTCTGGGGGCCACGTTGGTCATTTGTTCTACAAAGTAAGCTGGCAGGTGACCTAAACCTGGAGCATCTGAGGCTGCAGCAGGCGGCACCTCAGTGGACTGAGAAGGAGGTGGCGCTGTGGACAGGGAGGGGGGTGTCTGGGAGGCAGGCGGGACTGTAGGCACTTTGGATGGGGGGGCAGAGGGCACTTTGAAATGAGTGGCTGGCAACATATAGTTTTGTGGAGCTGACCGGTTTGGGGTAGACCCAATCTCAGCTAGGGACAAAATCAGTTGTTCCCTAAAGTTTTTCTGTGTTAACATCGGCCTACTCTGCAGTTTGCACATTCCTTTGTGCAAGATGAATGCGTTCACAGTGGCTATATCCACAAAATGATAGAACAGAGTCTTGTACCATTTCTGGGTTTTATGCAGGACATTGTAGTAGCTAATGAGTGCATCTGACAAGTCGACACCTCCCATGTGCTGGTTGTAATCTTTGATGGAGCCTGGAACAGGCACCTCCTTCACCGTCCACCGTCCATCTGCGTCTTTAACTTTGCGCACCGCCATGTCATTGCTGTATGCTTTGTGTAAAGTGGAGCACATTGTTACCTCCCTTGTGTCTAACCACTTCACAAACAGCAACCCTCCTTTTCTGATCCACCGGATAGTTCCTCTTGGTGTTTTTGGAGACATGTCATTCCTTTTTGTTCTGGGATAACCGCCTACATTAGAGCGGACAGTGCCGCATGCCCAGATTTTTCTCTTCAGGAGGTCAAGGAAAAGACCTGGACTGGTGTAAAAGTTGTCCACATAGAGCTTGTATCCTCTGCCCAGAAAGGGGATGTTGAGTAATCTCATGACAGCATCATAGCTGACCCCCTTCCCTGTGGGTTCACAGTCTCTTCCCCCGTGCACAAAAAAGTTCAGGGTGTAGCCACACGAGGAGTCTGCTAAAACAAAAAGCTTAAAGCCCCATTTAGTCGGCTTGTTTTTAATGTACTGCTTCAACCCAATCCTTGCTTTAGTCGCCACCATCCGCTCATCTATGCAGATATGCTGGTGGGGATGAAAGAAGGTGTAGCAGGCCTCCATAATCTGCCCATATAGTGGCTTTATCTTGCAAAGTCTATCATACCCTGGCGTCCCCTTTTTCTGGTCATTGGCTGCCTCAACTGCAGGATCATTCATGTGGAGACTGCGAGAGATAGTGAGGAAGCGTCTGCAGGGCATGACAGAGGCAGGAAATGGCAGGCTGTATAGCTTAGATGTTCTCCAGAAGTCTTTCAGAGTCTTTAGCGGTGCAATACCCATGTAGAGGACGAGGGAGATGAAGGTGTACATATCTGCTGTTGTGACAGGCACCCAGCTTTTTTTCTGGCCTTGGTTTTTCTTTTCCCCGTAGGCATTGGTGTTTTTTACCAACGTATCGATTACTGTCACAGAGAAGAACAGCTGGAACAGCTCGAGTGGCGTGTAATTGGCAGTTCTGTTCAGCTGCGGCCCCACCTCCCTCTCAGGTCTGAACCGTGGCTGAGGAGGCTCGACATCTTCCTCATCGATGTTACACCACCGCTCTCCATCACTGGCTTCATCCTCGTCGTTTCTCAGAAGCCGGCTTTCTGCTTGCCTCTTTCCACTTTGATTTTCCCTGCGTGGAGTGTTTGATATCTTGCCAGTACTGGGAGAGGAAGTGCCTTTTTTGGGTGTAGATGCACAGTTGATCTTCTTTCTGAGGGGGCTCCGCTCCCACTGCTTAGATGGGGATTTCAGGGGCGATGAAACTGGAGAAGCCGAACAAGAGCGGCCGCGTTTCCCGACAGTTCTTCTCTTTGCAGGTCTACTATTCCACTCCTCATCTGAACTGTCTTCATCAGAGAAATCTTCCCTGTAAATAAAGTAGATAAGCAAAGATAAATAATGTAGCAGGATAAAATGTTTCTGGATACAGCTGTTAGGGAATGTTTCCACATTGTGTTTTTCTTTGGCACAAAAGTAGCAGGGCACTGGGGAGCGCCTCATCCCAGTGTGTCATAAAAACAACATTCCCAGTACTGCTAGGTTAACAGAGGGGTGACTACACAGTTAACAAGCTTTAAAAAAAGCACAACACTCAATAGAAACATACAGCATCCGGTTAATCTGCCCACAAATGGCTGCACAAAAAAGCCAGAGTTATTAAGTTATTATATATTTTGTCTGAGTCTAAAAAGAACATTTAAAAGTGTGATTTGATCCATAAACAATTTAAATAAGCTGTAAATAAATCTAATAGTATGTCTATTCTCTTTAGCCCTTTTTAAACAGGAATTGTACAAATTTGCAGGAAAGCCCAATCAGTCTTTTTTCAGCCTTGGCAGTATAAAAACAAAATGAGGCCGCCAAAATGCCGCCTACCTACTTTTGTTTATACAGAATGCGCCTTTTTCGGGGCAATGGGGGGCGTGAGCAAGTAACAAAACGTGTAGCTCAGCGTGTGACGTGTGACGCATCTGACGGTTAATGGCCTCTTTGTTTGCGAGGACAAGGAGGGCGCGCAATTCCTTGTCTCCCCAGTTGCTCATCTTTACAGTGTCTGTCAGGTTTGCGTTTCCCTCTTGCTACTAGCTGCTCGCTAATTCCTGCTAGCAGCTGTTTCCTGTTTATCCACTGCCAGTGGGTCGCACATGCAGCATCATCAACAGCCCCTCTTTTTAAACTAAAAAGGTTCCGCCAATATGTCTACCCTACGAGGCGGAAAATTGGGCACCTCGGATCAACTCGCCAATCCGGCTCTGTGTGTCTAAATGCTTGCAGCTTGCCGGCAAAATGGCCCAACGTTCCCGGAAAATCTGGCAGTGTAAAAGGGGCTTTTGTTTGCGAGAAGAATTATCACATTTTCCTTTTACTCATTGAGTCTATGAACAAAACAAGATCTTGTCTTGAGCGATGTGTATGTGTAGATAATAAGAAAATTACAGCAGCTGGTGACATGACGCCTCCCAGGTTTGTAGCCTTGATTGTTTACTATGAACATGGGATCTCATCTGTGCAAGATAGATGTGCAGTCAGTAAGAAAATGGTGACAGTGAGGTGTCTTTTGATTACCTCTATGATTTCAACATGGATTGTTGTTCACAATATAGCATAATCACAGAAAAAATAGAGATGATAGTTTGCCGCATCCTTTGGGATTTTAATGCATCAGAGACGCAAAATCACTGATTTTTTTATTTACGTGATGAAGTGCCTTGATTTCATGTGTATTTAATTATCTGAATTTACCAAAATCAGACAATACTTTTTGGTTATTTTAAACATATTTCATTTTACACCATACCACTACACCACCATAGTATATCACTGTACCACAACAGAGAATTTGATCCATATTGTCCCTAAAAACCACAATTTAAATGGCTATTATAGTATCATTACTTTAAACACTGAGTTACCAGTTTACATACACTTTAGTTTGTCAATATAAACATAAACTTACAACAGTTGGGTGACTTCAGAGAGACAGATTAAAAACAATGGTCAAAATCAAAGTAGCAGAGTCTGAGATATTGTGACTGTTAGTTCCCAGTGTGGTCAAGCTCTAAAAATACCAGATCCTATAATATCACACAATAACATGTGTCATTAGATGACTCCCAGCCTGGTATATGTCTCCACACTCCACACCTTTAGTTTGTAATGCAGGCTTTCTGTAATAAATGTGTATCAGGGTGATTTTTCCATACTTGACAAAGCTCCTCCGGAGCCACACATGACATCGTACAACTGTTTTAACAGGCTCAGTTGCTCAGCTGGACATAATCTGTAAAATCTGCAGATTGCCTCTGTAAGGCTTCATGATAACACAAAGTATTGGTTTGTACAATATCACTTTCTCATCTATGTGTAATGATGCGTGTACTATACTTGGTGTGTTTCCACATTTAGTCCTTTTTAAACAAACTGAACTCAGTCCTCTTAAAGTGCACCAAAAAGTGGAGCAACAGAGAAGGGACTCTGATCTTTTTGTGTTGTTCACACTGTCAGTTCATTTGAAAGAGGACTGGTCAACTTCAGCTCTGATTGGGCCTCAGTCCTCTGTCTGTCACACTATAGCCTATATATAATATATATTGATATAGTTTTTTTTTTTGTTTTTTTTTTTACGTTGGTGTGGCATTGCATGTCACTTTCAGATCTACTTAAAAATCAGAGGAAAACCTCAGTGTTTCTGTGCTGTAGACTGTTATGTTTTATGTATTCCACATTCCACATCTGGAGACTTGCAGCATCTTCCGTGGACCAAACTACACATGGTCTTGCATCCTGGCAAGCGTTACAGGCCAGTGTTAACTGTTTTTTGGTTGTTGTTTTTCAAACATCCCAGTGCAACAGCATGTGATCTAGAGGGCTAAATACAATGGCAAAGAGCAAAGCCAACCTGGAGCACGCTGTGTTCACAGAGCACAGGTTAGGTGAACCACACTGCAGACTTGAGGCAAACCATACTCAGACCACCTTCTGAGTATGGTTCACTTCAGAGGGGTCTCACTTCTCTTGGAGTGTTCACATATGCACAAAAAATGCTGAGTCACTGCCTTGAGTCTGCTTAGAGGGCTGAAACAGACCAAGTCTCCTCATGTTGACTTTCGGCTTTTTATGGTACTATACTGGAGCCCTAACAATGGGGTTGCCATGCAGATTATTTTATAAGGAATGTATCATTTATCTGATGTTAAAATCAAGCTGACTGGTTAAAATGTAATAAATTAAATCATGTGGTACAAACTTTGTGCACAGTGGGCAGCACACCACAGTAGGTTGTCTTCCCACACAATTAAAAAACTCCAGCCACTCCTGCACAGGATCTTAAAAGCATAGTGTTATATTTTGGTTAAGTTATAGTAGCCTGATATGAATACTACAGTGTTCCCATGGCAGATGGAATACCGGGTGCACGCGCCCGTTCCGTGCACGAGCCTTATGTTGCAAGATACATGCGCAACACACTTTGTTGCACACACACGCTTTTGTGCCGCACAACAGAAGCTGTATCTTGAGCTCGGTGTGGCTCTCCGGTGTGCTCGCTGTAGATTTTATGCCAGCGTTAATTCCTCTGCATGCACCGGCAGTTTCAGCGGGGTCACGAGGGGAGCAGCGTGCATAGCTGCTGCACATGCATACCAGTCTGCACAGGAGCAGGCTCAACAGGTATCCTGACTGTGCTGCATCACTGTAAACCTATGCATGTCAGATGTGGCATATGATATGTAGCTGAAGCGCGGGTTTCTTTGGACCGATGCCAGCTGTTGGTGTCTGTACTCACTGATCCGATCCTCGGGCCAGCCCCCTCGGTATGTAGTCCTCGTCCAAACTGCAACGACTGCACTCGCTCTCAGAGTCTAAATCCGATTGGAGCTGTTCTAACTCATCCTCAGACTCTGACAGAAACATTTCTTAGCTCTGACGAGGTGTAAGACTTTGTCCCGTGAAGAAAGTTTTCGCGGTGTGTGAGTGTGTGGGTGCTGTCTCTGTCTTCATACGCCCCCTCCAACAACACAATGAGAGGGGAGATTGTTTTACGCGGGTGTCCCTGGTTCGACAGGAAGTCCCGTCCACTCTTTACCATATATGGCCAGGAAGAACAATTCATTGGCTACGGTGTAGGAGTGTTTCACGGTGCAGGCTCACCACTTGATGGACGGAGCTGCCAATAAATGACGCGCGGGTCTCGCGTAAAGATGCGCTCCCGGGAGTGGCTGAGGAAATTTAAAGACCTGAAACTCTGCCAGTTTCAGTCTTACAGAGTTTGTTCTTCTCCTGTGTTCCTGCTCATCTTAACACTGCTTAATATTGTAACCATAACTACTGCACACATTATATCTTGGGTTATTTTTATTACTTAAGTTACTGTGTTATTAATTAATGGTTACATAATTTAAGGAACAATAGATTCAGCATTATTGAATTATTGGTAAATTATTATTTCTTTGCCATTTATCCATCTTATTCCTGAGGGTGCCACTGTAGGAATGATTATGGGTGCAACATCCTGAGAGAGAGAGGAAGTGGCAGCGAACTATTCAGTCACATCGACTGTCTATGATTTGTTCTGGTGACTGATCTTGGTGGCTAACCACTAACAGTGTTTCTTTTCTGAAGTAATTCACCTTTAATATAGCAACATTCTGCAGCGTTGGTTCACACCAATGCAACTACATGAATCGGTGTATCATCTCTAGTCAACAACTCTCTGTACTTTCACTCTGATTTCCAGCTTTTCAGGCTTATTTTGTGGCTGAATATAATTTGTAGCTTCTTAAAATATGAATGAGGATAGTGATAGTGAGATACTGGCTACAGCTGCATTTGTAGTAGTGATGAAATGGCAAAAACAAGACACAAAATGAGCATCAGATGGACTGTATTCATAATCATACGCCACAATAATATAAATAACCAGCGCCAATTAATCAGCCAATGTGAATGTGTGTGTGGGTGGGGCAAAAGCACATACAGTGGGCAACAGCAGAGACCCACCGTCTGACACCAGCACACCGTGAAGACGCAAACAGAGGGCTCGGCAGGGATGATTGGCTGTAGAAACAGGTGATGCGCTTTACGCTCTAAAACCAGCCGCTGGCGATTTGACCAGCTGAGTTGCAGGTGACACCATCAGCCAGCTTGAGTCGAGCTCAGACGGGCCTGTTCACACCGCTGCAACTTTTCTCTGCAATATTTTAAAACGGTTCCATCTCGTTGCAAATCTTTGGTCTGAACTGGGCTTTAGGAGCTCTGCCATTGTGACAAACACTATAATTCTGGGTGAAAACTATACTTGTGACTTGTTTTTGGTATGAAAATTTGCAGGACCCCACATGGAGCCAGACAGTAAATCAGTTCAGTCAGTGATATTTCCCACATAAGAGGGTACATCTACTCTACTGTTATGTACTATGTCAATAAAATTAATATCGGCCATTCAGTCGTCAAGATCCCACTTTATACTAAGAGAAAAGGAATCTAAACCTGGGGACACCATACAGAATAGAATCATTAGCCCCATTTACACTGCCAGATATTCAGCGAATGTTGGGCCGTTTTGCCGGCAAGCTGCAAGCGTTTATACACACAGAGCCAAATTGGTGAGTTGATCCGAGGTGCCCAATTTTCCGCCTCGTAGGACAGTCATATTGGCAGAACCCTTTTAGTTTAAACAGACCGAGGCGCCCTTCCGCAACGGGAGGGGCTGTTGAAGACTTGTGGGAGGAGCTGTTGATGACGCAGCACATGCGAGCCACTAGCGGTGGATAAACAGGAAACAGCTGATAGCAGGAATTAGCGAGCAGCTAGTAGCAAGAGGGAAACACAAACCTGACAGACACTGTAAAGATGAGCAACTGGGGAGACAAGGAATTGCACGCCCTCCTTGTCCTCGCAAATGAAGAGGCCATTAACCTGACGGGCTGACTTACGAGAGAATCGCTGAAGGATTGACCAGCCGTGGCTTCCCTCCCACGTCACTGTTTACGTCACACACTGAGCTACACGTTTTGTTACTTGCTCACGCCCCCCATTGCCCCAAAAAAGGCGCATTCTGTATAAACAAAAGTAGGCAGGTGGCATTTTGCTGCACTCCCTGATTTTGTTTTTATACTGCCAATGCTGAAAGAAGACTGATTGGGCTTTCCTGCAATTTTACACAATTCCTGTGTAAAAAGGACTAGAGAGTGTTTTCTGAGGTTTATTTGCTCCATTTCCAGAAATACAGGGAGACACAGGCTGGAGGGTCAGTGCAACATAAATGTGACATGATCTGATTGTGGAACTGTCAAATCAAAATAGCAGAGGACAGAAATAATAAATAATTATAAATAATTTGTGTTGTAATGCTAACTCTATTAAAACAACTTTTATTGAAATTTGAAGAAAAATGGTTCAAAGGCTAAATTAAAGGCTAGTGCATATAAAACAGAAGTCTGGCCCTGAATCATACGTTACATCTTGTTTATCTGGAAACCAAAGATCTGTAGCTGCACAGCTGAGAGCTTGTGCTCTTCCTCTGGCCACTGAGGTCGGTCGATGAAAAATTATTCAGGAGGAAAACAGATTGTGTGAGCTGTGTGACTTTGAAGTGAAAAGTGAGTCCCATTTTCTTTTGTTCTGCACAGACTATGATGACTGCATAGAGTTATGAAATGGCTCAACTAAAGCCTAATATATTCTAATTTTGATGTGTGTGAGTGTGTGTTTGCCAATTTAGTCTCAAAAGTCTGGAAAAGAAGGCCGGACAGATTGTTTAATTAGTATTTACTTAGATTTTTCAGTTATACTTAGTAAATGTTTCTGGGAGTGATTTATGAATTCTGTTCTGCTCAGTGATAATTTGAGGATGCTGTAGTTGTTTTTTATTTTCTTTGTTTGGAAATCTGCACAAAGTATTGTTGCCCTGGCTTGTTAGATTGTTTTTGGTATTTTAATAAGCTCATGCAAGGTGCCATAATTATGTGTATGATGCAATTATAAAAAAAAAACTTTATCCATTCACTTAACACATATCAGTAAGATAACCAAATTATGTTCATTTCTATACCGTTCACAATGACTGGGGAATGGGAGCTTTCTCCAGCCAATAATTTTGTCAGCTGTAGAGAGACTTTGGTTTGACAGGTGCCCCACTGGGTCAAATTTAGTGCATGTCCATCAGTTCACTGCCACAGGAAAGATAACAGCATCAGCATTCAGAAGGGCACGCTACTTTAAACACTCATGATTCAATCCTCATCCATCAGTTTTGCTGGTTTCTCGTACTCGTTCATAGTTGTTCTTTATTACCCTATGAAGTGCAGATCATAGTGACTTAGTCTTTGATGTGTGAGTGTATAAGCCTGTTATCTTAGGCAGCATGTTCCTCAGCTGTGTGGGCACGACATCTTACACTAATATGTGTTTGAAAGTGCAGGGATCTCATAATCATCTGCGTGAGTCTGACCAGGTGGCCGCTGAGTGACTTTGCCTCCTCTTCCCCATTGAAAATCAGAGACAGTGAAGAAGAGCCAGTGAAGAGGCTGAATAAGATCCCAGTCACTTTTATGACTCTTGTCCTTGATTGAGTGCAAAAGAGTGTGAATGAAAAGCCCAAACTATGCTACTTCTTTTCACCATGTGGAGAGCTTGAGAGATGAACACTGGTATGAGTTATGTAACACAACTTGATCCTGTGTGGATATAAACAAATGTCTAAAACTAGATAGATAGATAGATAGATAGACTCCCCCGCGACCCCCAACAGGATAAGCAGTTACGGAAAATGAATGAATGAAATGAACATTCAAACATATGGGGTGTAGATTTCTCAGATTCAGACCAAAGCAACAGCTCTGAACATAATCCCTGATGGTTTTATGGTACATTTACTGTTTATCAGAGCACAAAGTGATAAGAATTAGCTAGCTAGTGCACCCTGCAGACCCTCCACCTCACTCCCCGCCACTAGAAGGCTACTTTACCAGGAGGAGGGTGGGCAGCAGCTGCAGAGACAGACCTTCATTAAGCAGCTGTAGCAACTCAAATTCAGCCACCCCATATGCCAGGGTCTGACACTAGACCCCCCTGCTAACTCCCTGCTAGCCAGCGCACCCCAATGTCCCTCCACCTAACTCCCTGCTGCTTAGAGACCACTTTGCCAGGAGGAGGGTGGGTGAACCTTCATTAAGGGGCTAGAGCAACTCAAATTCAGCCAGCACAAGCCCAAATGCCAGGGGGTCTGATCCTGGACCCTCCTGCCGACTCCCTGCCGAAGTAGTCTCCAAGCAGTGGGGAGTGAGGCGGAGAAACCGTGGAGTGCGCTAGCTAGCTAATCCTTGTGCTGTTTCTTTGGTCTGAATCTATTAAATAACCACGCTCCATTAATTTGAATAAAGAACAGATGGAAATAAAAGGAGCTGGGATACAAATGTGGCATTGGGAAATAAAAGTCCCCTGAAATAAATAAGAATAGTCCTTTGAAAAACATCCTTTTCAAAAGAAAAAAAGAGACATATTTGTTCACTTATTGAACATAATTTATATATTTATATTAACATTTATTCATATATTGATTATGTATTTTTTCAGGATTTATTTAAAAGGTGTCTGGAAAGAGGTCAAAGTTATGAATAACAATAAAACTCCCCTACCGTCTGACATTGAAGGGGTAAGCAGCCCAGAAAAAATAGCTGAGATATGGCGTGAGCACTACTGTAGCCTTTTTAATTGTGTTAAAAGTAACCCGGTTAGAATTGATCATGAACATACTGGTCTCTCTGCAGACATGATAGTTAGGGCAGCAGATGTCTATGATGCCATTAACATGTTGGATAATAACAAAGCCTGTGGTATGGACTGCATTACTGCAGAACATCTAAAATATGCCAGCTATAAGCTCAGCCCTTTGCTTTCCATGTGCTTTACTGTTTTTTGGCTTTTAGGTGTTCTGCCCAATTCTATTATGTCTGTG